AAATTTTCCCATAAGGTTCAATGTAATTACCGTTAATCCGTTCTGGCGTCCGCAGACCATGTGTCAGGGGCGGAAAAGCGCCCGCGCGCTGCATGGCGGGGTGGCAAAACGCCCGCATGCCGTGCGTCAGGGGTGGAAAAGCGCCCGCGCGCTGCGCGGCGGGGTGGCAAAACGCCCACGCGCCGTGCGTCAGGGGCAGAAAAACGCCCACGGACCACGTGTCAGGACGGAAAAATGGCCACGGACCACGTGTCAGGGTGGAAAAATGGCCATACCTCGAGGCGGAGTTCGCACATCGAGGTAAATGTTTGGGGCCGGAGCTGGTCGTATCTCGAAAATTTCATAAGTAGGGGTGTTCGTAAGTAGAGGTACCACTGTATAAGATTAAGTTCAATCCCTCTTCCTTAAGCCTGGGACGATGTCAGTTTTGCCTGAAAAGATTGGAATTTTCCTGAGCCCTGCCCTGTGGACTAGTTAAGAGATTTCATTGCATTGATTCAAAAAGGCAAGCCGCTGCTAAGGTGTTTATTTCTATGTATCCTATGGTGTTCAACAAGTCAGCTGAACCATAGAAAGGTACATTAGAAAGGAAGACAGGACTATTTTGAAGAGGATTTGAAAACACAGCTCATTGTATTAACTGGGTTTAAAGCTCTCCTAGAAAATAGACCTAGAGAATAGTACGAAGACATTTAAGTGAGTTCTATGGCTGAAATTATTGCCCTTGTCAACTCTCAAAAATTAATCTTTAGAAGTTTTTGTATGGTATTATTTCAACTATGAAAAATATATAGAGTTTATAGCAAAAGCAAGGAAATGTATTACATTTCCCAATGTTTTTAGCTATTCAGTAAAAAGTTCTCACTCATTGAGCACATGTTAAAAGAAAATCATGATGTTTCTTGTGAGCTCCAAGAACTAGTCTCACATTCTTTAACACTGCTTTTATCACAGTATCATTTGTCTAAGTATAGTTGCAGGTTAGCAGGGGCCATCAACTAAAGCCTTTCGTTTTTAGGTGCAAAGCTCAATACACTAGCTGTGGTGAGAGTCACTGCCCCCAAGCAATGGAGAGCCGGATGTGAGATCCTCAATCCAATGCAATCATGTTGCACTCCAGAAATTGACAATGTTGCATTTACCCCCACACACCCTGTTTTTCAATAGATAACCCTAATCTGTTTTATTTAAAGTAAAACTCTTTCTGCTTAGTGTGCTTTTGAGAAGTATCTTGCCTATACAACTTTTGCAAATTCCTCTTTTAATTCCAGTCTGAGTGCACCTTTTAGCAGGGACATTTCTCTTAGCATTTTCTTCACAATCTTCCCTTTAGCTGTAAGTCACCTGGCAAAAATGCAACCAGGTAACATTCAAATAAAGTTATTTAACATTTCACTTGACTTTGTTCAAATTTTGCTGAAATTAATTAATTTTCAGACAGAGAGCACACAACTTCCATGCAGTCAATCCACTGACAGGTACTTGTTTATCTTGTATGTGATGCTCATTTACTCTATTTTCTTCTGCTAGGAAGTTTCATTATTTCCTAATGCATATTTTTCTTAGATTGCTATGACAGCTGACAAAAAATGGAATGTTCATATCAAAGGAAAATTGTAGAGACCACCTTGCTATATTTAAATGTAATAAACTACCATCTTATAAGTTTTGTATGGAACTAAGCAAACATGCCCCACAGAAAAACACTGTTACAAAGAATTGTTTTCAAAGGTAAAAATAAACTGACATAATTCATGAAAGGCCTCTTATCGCTCTTTCTCTCTTTCTGTGTTAGAATGAATATTAATTTTATGACAAGAATATTTCCTTATACTGTTCTTCTGGACAGAACTTTTCTATGAAACTTTAATCCTTAGGGCAGAGAAATCACAAACGCACAGCAATTCTCAGCCAGGTGAAAGTGGTAGAATTTCCAAAGCCCTGCTGTTTCTTGTTTATGAAAGTGAGCACTGGGTTTTTCGGAAGATGGGTTCAGTGGATCTTTGGCTTTTTAAACTTCCCCTTCCTGCTGAAACCCACTGTTCTCCCAAAGCAAAATTCTTGGGAAAATTTGGGTCTTTGGACCGAGAGGCTTTCACAACTAGAGACTTACAAAGCTGAATGCAGGCATCCAGTTACAGATGTTAGTTTTCCATTGGTTGAACACTTTCCACACAGTTTCTGTATTCAACAGCATTGGATAACTGAGAGAACTTCCAATTGCTTCTGCTCTGTCTCCTTTGCTCTTATTCACAAACTTGTCTCAAAATGATGATTAAATGGATTGGAAAAATTCTGCCTAAAATATGTTACATAAAAGCATGGAAAGAACTTACGTGATGGTGTCAATCATATCCAATCCCATTTCAACACAGCAATGAGCATGATCTGTTTTGGGCTGGGTCAATCCTGATACACAGTAGTAACAGTCACCTAGGATCTTTATCCTTCTGCAATGGTTTTCCTTTAATGGAAGGAAAGAGAAGGAAAGGAGAAAAATAAGTTTAATTGTAGCAAAATACACTTTTCTGTAATAACTAATATTATTAATTATCTAACACAATTTTCTTAATTGTATCACAGCCCATCTCTTTTATGAAGCCTCGGTTTACTATTTTAATGCTTCATTTTGAAACGAACAATCTCATTCTAAATAAGCTTACTCAGGATGCACAGAAGTGTCATGTGTTGTTAAATATCTGTTCCTGCACTTGTACGTATCTATACTCTGTTATTTTTTGTTTCCTCTGTTTTTTTTATAGTTTCTCTTTAGAAGAAAATTAAGTTGTGAGTTCCAAGGAACAGGACATATATAAAGGAGAATCTTGGCCCTGTTCAGTTTTGGAGTTGGAAACATCTTTTTTTTTTTTTGCTAAAGTTGGAAGTCTTTGCCATCAGTACAGCTTCTATATTCATGTCTCCTCCCACCAAGTCCCTATAATGCAGACATCCCACTTTACAAATAAAGCAAATATATAGAGAACAGCTACTGTTGCATATAAAGCTTGGTGACATGTAGGGATACCAGGTCTCAGTGCACACTGAATTTAACCTGTGATGCCCATGATTAACAAACCTAGCAATGAGCTAGAATCAATCAATGGATAACATCTGACTTCCACAGCAATGGCAAATTAATTGGTATAAGATAAATCAACCATTTCTAAGTAGATATACATTTTAGAGGATTGGGGTTGACTCTTTTAAGTTTGCTCCACTGAGGAGCAAGAAACTATTGCATTCTGCTAGCACATGGGCACGCATGATGGACTAAGATGGATGGGAACTTAAGAAACATCTGCTTAAGAATTTGGTTGATAGTCAATGTGAGTCCTTGACATTCTGATTGATAAGGACTTCATAATGAGAAAAATACCCAGCAAATTGCTATGTAGAAATATATAATAAATCTTCCTAAACATTCTCTATTGGAGGATGTACCAAAAACACACATTGCTGAAAGTTATGTTCAAAAAGGCCCAATTATGCAAAAGTTACAAATTTATGTTCTTAAAAGACTGCATTTGGAAAAACATACATAAAACATTAGAAAAATGTTCATATAAAATGTTCAAGGAATTTGTATACAAAAGCTCTGTGTATTAGACTGTTGAAAACCATAATCCTTCTTTTGGATTCTTTAGGTGGTCCAAATGTTGGTCAGTACCTACATGCTCTATTATAAAACTGATGAATAAAATATGAACTCTGATCTATCAAACTAGATCTACCAATCCATTCAGAATCACTTTTAAAAGGAGGCTACATATTCTTACTGATTCCAATCTGCCAACCTTTTTCTCCTTATTGTTGTATCTTGTCCCCCCACTCCTACCCCAACTGATATGAAAGCACTGTGGTTTATGTTAGTTTTGTTGATTAGTTTTTTAAGGCTTCTGATTCTGGCATGCTCCTCTTAGAACAAGCTAGAGCCCTTGGTTCATACAACAGAGTCCACAAGTACACAGCAATTAATAGATTCTTATTTGAAATCAGTTGCAGCAATGGAATTCATTGTTCATTTACTGATGATGCAGAATTTTGCCATCCAATCTCATGTAAATATGACTTCTTTCATTCAAAGTCCAAGGAGACAAGATCCAGTCACTCCAGTTATTCATTTCTTTCTTTCAATATCCTCTACCCCATTGTCTTTTTTTTCCTCTTTCTTACACATGTACATATGATTGAAGACATCGATATACAGAATTCATCCCTATTTTCTTCCATTCTCTATCAGTGTGTTGCCTTAGACCGTCTGCTTCTGTTCTAAATGCAGATCCATTCTAAATGTAGATCCCAGAGCTGTGGAAAGTCTCACCACTCTTTGCATTAGACAGCAGAGCAGCTGGCTATTGGGCTTAATTGCTGACTTGAAACCAGTGATGTGTGCTCTCTCTCTCTCTCTCTGCATCCATTTGTCCAGCCATCCAATCACTTTGCCAGTGCCCTGCTGCTTTCCCTCCACACAGCTATCTGCCAGTGGCCTGGACAGGGATGGACTGCCAGCTTTCCAAAGGCAATTGTACTAGGAAATCAGCAAACTGCAATGGATTGCTGAGAAAAAGGAAGAAGATTTACTGTTTTCTCCTTTCAGTTACTGAACAAGCAGGTTGTGGCAAGGGGAAAAGACTTTTTGTGGGGGGTTTTTCCCTTCCAGAATCCTGTTCAAAATCATAGTGAGAGGTTTAGCTAGTTTAAAGCCCTTGCCAGATAACAAAGTTTAAAATTCACTGTTTTTCCATGGATTGTAAAATGTCTAATATGCAGGGAGGTCAATGGGGAGCCAAGGGGAAAGATGGAAACAAACTTATTCTTTTTCTCTCAGCTACTTCCTCAGAACTGCTGGGCAGGAGACAAGATAAATGGCCCAGGCATGTGGACGAGGGATATGAAAGTAAAAGAGAGGGTGATAGGTATATATGAATATGAATCTATATAAGAGTGCATGCTTAGAGATGTGTGGCCCAACACCCAACTTAGAAGCTTACGCAGAAAAGATGGCCTATCCATAAATTTAAGCCATAGCTTCCCTACTGCAACAAGCCGACCTTCCAAAATAATCCCAGATATTGTGGGAACAGTGCCATTCTAGTGCTTTGCTTTTTTTCCCTTCTAATCCGTTCTCCAGATTCAAAACATCTTTTCTCCTAAAGAATTGTGTTGATAGGGTTCTTCTTGAGTTCCACAATCCACTGAAAATTTGGTCCAATATATAACAAAATTGTGACAGCTCAACATGTAATTATCTACAGTTGGATTATTGCACATTTGGAAAGGGAAAGGAGAAAACTGTTTAATTTTGGAACTTAAATTAGTAGATTCCATTATTTTAATGCATTGTTTAGCAAGTAATTCTATGGGAATATCAGTCTGAAAGGTTCTTGATGGCCCTTTAAGGAAGCAAGATAAACCATGCCTTTAAACAAAGAAGTCAGCCTCTTCTCCCAGCTCTCTTTTTGTTAGCTCACAGCCAGAACTGTGAAGTGAGCTGAGAGTTCAATACCGTCTCCAAGTATGTAACATATCTGTGCAGCTTCAGTGCCTTTCTTCTTGGCTGACATAGAATCTAATGATTATAGAAGCACAAGAGAGGAAAGTGAAGACAGACAATGATGGAGAAAAGGGTATTGTGGATTAGAGGATACAGGATTTAAACCCCATATGTTAAGGAGTAAATGTCCATAACCTGTAAATTAAGCAAATCAGCTGGAATGCCAGAAGGGAGATAAATGTTATATATACTTAAGGATGAGAATCACACGAGTAAGAAAAAACTAGGAAGAGCAAGAGAAATCAGAATGTGTTTGGTCTATTTCTATTTCCAATATATATACCCACCATGTATTATCTTTCACAATGAATAACTTTTTGCAGTGCACAGAAAAGGAACAAAAAATAGTAAATCAAGAAATTAAAGACATGGTATAAGAGAAAGGCTATAATTCATTTACATTAACATCATTCACTATACTTCTATCATTTATGAATACATACATGTATCTAAAGCTATTTTTATTGAACTATATCTTGTTCATTTTCTTCTAAAAATAAAAGTGGTGAAGAACTGGATACATTATCTCTTGTTTTATAATTTAACTGGATATATGTCTTATAGAAGACAAAAATGAATTTTCACTTGGAGTTGAGTCTATTCCAATAGACAAAACTATATGTAACTCAGGGTTGAACTGTGGAGTCCTTAGAGCTTTCTAAGCTTGGTTGTTTGCTGGCTGATGCTTCATTACCCAACTAGGTAACATGATCAGTGCTAGTGAGTGTGGGGTTTTCCCCCTGTTTATATACAGAAGGTTGCTCTGCCAGTGTTGGTGGGAGTATGGTTTTCTCCTTGGTAGTTCCTTGATTAGGGCATTGTTTTCTGCTTGATTGTTTGTCTCCTTGGTAGTTCCTTGATTAGGGTATTGTCTGCTGCTTGATTGTTTGTCTGATGTTAATCCCTGCTTATCTGGTGTAGGCTGCTGGAAAGGATGTGTTCTGGTCTTTTTGTTTTCTTCTTAGCTTTTTTTATTGTCTCTTTTGAATGGTGTGTAAATGTGGCTTATCTCTATGTGTCTATTGATGGCTGATTTGTCTGAATGCCAAGAATTCCAGAATTCCCTAGAGTTTTTGGATTCAGCTTGGTCTAGGATGTTCAGAGATTCCCAGTTGAAACTATGGTTGAGTCTGTCCGCGCGTGGTGGGATTAAGGAGCTTAGTCATGCTGGGCTTGTGTACTTTTGGGCATCCACAGAAGTGTGGGAGGATGGATCCACTGCTTTTTATGCGCCACTATTCTTCTTTTGTGATTTGGCCTTTCTTAGGTCATTGAGGATTCTCTTGATCAGATTGTCTAGTTTCCTAGGAAGGAAACAAAAGACTAGAACACCTAGTCAAGGAACTACCAAGGAGAAAACCACACCCCCACCAACATTATCAGGGCAAGCTACTGTACATAAACAGGGAGCAAACCCCACACTCACTACCACTTATCATGTTACCTAGTTGGGTAATGAAATGTCTACAAGCCAACAACCAAGCTCAGACAGCACCAAGGACTCCACAGTTGAGCCTATGCTTGCAATTAATTAAAACAATATCTGATAGCACATTACTATGAATGCCTATTCAGAAATCCTGTTTTCAATAGGGAAGTTCTCAGGAAGATCCATGACTGAGCTTTACAGTAGATACTCAGAATTATCAAGTATATGTTAGAACACATAATAGGAAAGCCGGAAACTGAGACAGATTTAGCACAGTCATACTCAGAACCCTACCAGATGTGTTTACCATTATGGCCTGCAAATTTTGTTTATTCTTTTTATTATTACTGTTAATAGTTCTCTTTCTCTCCCCGCTACTACTACTCTGTACAACAGTATTAATCCTTTGGCAAATGAAAGATAGCAGACTCTAGTATTATGGGACCGTGTTTATGATAAAAAAGGTTTCAGAAAAACTCTA